TGGAGCTGTGGTTCAAGTGGTACAGCACTAGCCTTGAGGAAAAGAAGCTCAAGGACAATGCCCACACACTGTTCAATAATATCAACTGCAAAAAATTTTAATTGAAGATTTTTGCTTCAGGCTTACAACACCTGTGTCCCTAAATTTCCTACTTGCAGTATTCAATTTTATGATCCTTTAATACTTAGAGAAAATTCAGTTATTAGTAGCTTAAATGAATGATGAGTTTCATGACCTCAGATTCAGTCACAGCACCAGATCAGAGTAAGGACAGCCCAGGAGGGCTGAAGCCTTACTTAGTCTAAACTAGTCAATTGTACATTCCTCTTACTCTTTTACTCTCCAACTTCATACCACTGTGGGATACTGTGAATTCACTGTCATCACATGTGCTGGTAAATAATATAATTGCATCAAATCTTAGGAGCAGGAAAATCACAAGGAATCATCAGAATTTACTAATGAAGGTTTGACAATGGTTGCATCTGATTTATTTGGTGCTGGGACAGAAACGACGAGCACAACACTGAGATACTCCCTGCTGCTCCTGCTGAAGCACCCTCACGTCACAGGTAGGAGCACAGGGGGAGACCTAGGTGAATCTTTGAAAAATATAGGAGAGATGCTGGTAGTGATTTGCATTGTCAGATACGTCTCACAGCTCAACATCCTGTGCCACCACCTGAAATCAGAGAAAAGTGATGAGAACACGGCAGGTAGGAAAAGCAGCAAGACTGTCTTGTGTCTGGATTTTCTGGTAGGTAATCGTTGGAAAACTGCTCTAGCATAAATTGACATACAATAACATGTTGATTTTACACTAAAAACAAGAGCTTTTACAGTAGGTTCTTCTATATATTTTTCCACATTCTGACTATTCTAGTGCTGCCATAGGCCAAAGAGATCTCTTGTCACCAATGCATAAGTACAAGTCCTAGAAATTAATGAGGATGTATGAGATAAATTCCATTCCAGAACATTTTCTAAAAAGAAACTCATTAGAAAGGTATTATTGAGACAGATGCCATACCTGAAGGAATTTTAAAATTTCAGAAATCTAAGTCCATAAAACTTATGGTTGGTAAAGTTAGAATTTTACAAGGGCATCGGTGATTTTTATCTTTTATAATGTTGTTTTATATTTATTGCTTTTAGGTGTAGAAACACTATGTAAAGCTTTAGGACATAAGTATAAAATAATTACAATGAGAATTAGTCCTCTCACAACAAAAAAGAGAAGAGAATACTTGATTCTCTAACCATCTTATCTAACCAGATAAGCTGTCTATCAAAATTCTGATACTCAGAGTAGATGTAATTGTGATAAAGTAACTGAGCCAGACACATGTTGCTTTCACCTAAATTTGGTAACAGAAAAGTTCTGAGGGAAGGAAAACCAAGCTATGTCTCCAAAATTCCATAAAGTTTCCCCCTTTAATTTTGCCAGTCCTGGGGCTTGAACTCAGGGCCTGGGCCCTGTGAATATTGGTTCAAAAACTGATATGTAATATCTAGTATATTGTTGTGAATGAAGTAAGGGGAAACATACATGTTTATCTCTAAGCACCTATTTGTAGATGTGGCTAAATATATAAGACAGAGGTGTGAATGCACATTTCACTCTCACATACTAGGATATCAATAAATATTCTCTAAAAGTGATTTAAAAAATCAACTGGGTCAGGAACCAGTGGCTCATGCCTGGATTCTTATGTACTCAGGAGGCTGAGATGTGAGGATTTAAATTTGAAGCCAGGGCAGGTATTAAAGTCAATGAGACTCTTATCTCCAATAAACTACTCAGAAAAAAGGCAGAAGTAGTGTTGTGGCTCAACTGATAGAGCACAAAGTACATATTATTGAACACAAAGAAGTTCAAGGACACCAGCCAGGCCCTGAATTCAAGCTCCAGGTCCAGTAAAAAAAAAAAAAAAGAAAGCATCATTATTTAGAAAATGAACATAATTTTCCAAAGCAGATTCTAGGATGCCCAATATGGATATCATCAGAAAGTGGTTCGATAATGTGAGTAGTACTGTACACTGTACACAAGCGTACACAAAGATATACACTATTTGTATAATGCTTAAATAATAATCATTTAAAAATAAAAAATTATGTTTATTGTTTTTCTTTGAGAACCACCATTTCTTCTTCTGCATTTTTATTAGGGTACATTTATTGTTCAAATGTATTTAGTGCTGATACTTCCATAGATGCATAGAAAGATTTTCATTTTTATTATTTAATAGATGTATGAAGGGTTTCAATTCAGCACAGTCTTTCATGCATTACAATGTGTCTGGACCAAAGTCAGTCCCTATAACATACATTCATTCATAGTTTTACTTAAATATGTCCTGTTTAGTTTTTGAAATATATTCTTCTATTGATATCAACAACAGAAAAAGTAAACTCCTTTTTAAAAAGACACATTATTTACTTTTTATCTATAAACTAATAGAATTTAAAAGTCTTTATTGTAAAATTATCTCTTATCAGCAAAAAATATTTCTGAATTCGAACAAAATGGGAATATTTTATTAACATCTTCAAAGTCATACTTAGAATGATTTATGTTGGCTAGCCCATGAATTAGCATTCAAATTTGTGGAAATTTGTGAAATCCCCTAAGATACAAGTAAAGATAATAGTGTCCTCAAAAATGTTCTTTTATTGTCAATATTTTATTCCCTTTATTTTAAAATGCTTTATTATTACAGTTTTATAAGTATGTAGTTCCTATGAAAATATACTTTTTACATATTAAATAAAGGTATTTTACTTCAATGTAAAGTATATTACATGTACACTAATAGTCTTTTTGTTTTTTTGTGTTTTTCTTAACAAGAAACTAAATTAACTCATTATAAGGCTACTAAGTAGGATGATGTGTGTACATGCTGAAGTATTAATACTCCATGGGGCATGTATTTTTTTACTTCAAATCTTTTTTTTTTTTTTTGCCATTTCTGCATTTGTTCACCCTTTGTCCCTCCATTTCTGTGCCTTCCCTTGCAATCCCAAAGAAAGATAAACAAACAAACAGAACAAAGAGGAAGAAAACAAAAAACAGCAAAAGAAGGATAAACCCACATTTTCATTTCCTGTAGGTCATTCCAATAAATATTACTTTGTATGATCAGATGCACATAGGCATTGAACCTTTGTGTTTTCCCTAAAGTATCCTCCTGTGGTCTCACAGTGTGAATGCCTCGGTTTCTTCTTTTTATGTGTTTAAAATTTTAGTGTGGTGTTGTCTTGGGCAGCACATATGGTAAAAAGGAAACAATACACAGAAGATTAGCATGGCCCCTGCATAACTCTCAAATTTGTGAATCATTCCATATTTTATCAAAATGGATACCAGGCAATAGAACATTGGAGTAGGGACATGTAGCGGCACAGGAATGGAGGAAGGACAGGTAAGCAAATGCAGTTATTGTATTCTAGATGGGGTGAGCTTCTTTTCTGCTGAGTCTCCATAGGGAGCCTGAGTTCTTGAGGTCACTGCAGGATTCCTCTCCTCCATACCACCTGAGAGAGCTGCAAAAGTCTCACAGTTGGCTGGTCAGGAGAGGTTGTGGTATAGCAAGACTGGGGTTGTATATCCATGCAGAATTATCCTTGGTCTCCCACACTGTGAATCCCAATTTTGTTCTGCCCCTTAAATTCTTCTTGTTTTGGGGACTTCTCCTTTTTCTCCTTGTTGTCTTTCTTTCCTCTTCCTCCTCCTACTATTCTTCCTTCTCCTTCTTCTTGATCTTTTGGCTATGCTTAGTTTTTGTATTTCCAAATGAATGCAAAAGCTTGTTATTTATCAATTTCACAATATATTTTGCTATAGATAAATTTGGGGGAAATGTTACCTTGATTTATTCAATTCACGAATGAGTCCTGCTTCTAATTTACCTATGCTTTACTTTAGTTTCCAAGTAATATTTTGTTTTCAAGATAGAGTACAAATATATTCATAGACTTTCTCTAAATACATAGCATTTTCACTATTACTGTTTTATTTTTTCATTGGCTTGGTGCTTGTTGGCCTGTGCACTGTCCATGAGCTCATTTGATCAAAGCTAGTGCTCTACCAGTTTGCACCGCAGTTCCACTTGTGGTTATCTGGTGGTTAACTGGAGATAAGAGACTCATGGACTTTGTTGCCTGGGCTGGCTTTGAACCATGATCCTTAGATCTCCTGAGTAGCTAGGATTACAGACAGGAGCCACCAGTGCCTGGCTTGATTGTTATTATTTTTATGGTGCCTTTGCTATCATTTGTACCTGATATATAGAAACATAATTGCCTTAATCATTCTGATGACCTCATAAAATGTAAACTCATGAAATTTACTAGTCATTGCTAATGAATTCTCTGTAGATTTGTTTGGAACTTTAGGGTGCATTACCATAATATCTGGTTTAATATTTTATACTTGCTTTTCCAATTCCTGTGCCTATAATTTTGCTTTGTTGAAATTTTGCACTGGCAGCCAGGATGGTATAAACAAAATAGATTTTAGTGATCATCTTTGTTTCATTATGATTGGCAAAAAGGATTTCAAGCTTGGTATTTCACAGTCGATTTTGATATCTTAAGTAGATTTAAAAAAATAACAGTAGGGAAATTTACCCTGTGTTCTTATGTATGTATGAATTTTGACCATAAACATGATAATATTTTGAATCAGATCTATTCTCTGTAAGGATTCTTCTTCTTTGAAAAGTTTTAATTATACAGGTGATGTGCAGAGGGGTTACAGTTACATAATTCAGGTAGAGTAGGTTTCTTCTTGGACACTGCCACCTCTTCTTTGGCTCTCTCCCAGTTTTTCCTTCCCATCCCCATCCACAAGTTGTATAGTTCATTTTGAAAAGTGTCTGGTGAGTGCCATTGCTGCATTTGTTCACCCTTTGTCCCTCCATTTCTGTGCCTTCCCTTGCAATCCCAAAGAAAGATAAACAAACAAACAGAACAAAGAGGAAGAAAACAAAAAACAGCAAAAGAAGGATAAACCCACATTTTCATTTCCTGTAGGTCATTCCAATAAATATTACTTTGTATGATCAGATGCACATAGGCATTGAACCTTTGTGTTTTCCCTAAAGTATCCTCCTGTGGTCTCACAGTGTGAATGCCTCGGTTTCTTCTTTTTATGTGTTTAAAATTTTAGTGTGGTGTTGTCTTGGGCAGCACATATGGTAAAAAGGAAACAATACACAGAAGATTAGCATGGCCCCTGCATAACTCTCAAATTTGTGAATCATTCCATATTTTATCAAAATGGATACCAGGCAATAGAACATTGGAGTAGGGACATGTAGCGGCACAGGAATGGAGGAAGGACAGGTAAGCAAATGCAGTCATTGTATTCTAGATGGGTAGTTGTTGACCTTCTATTGCTTTATGCCCTTCTTGCTTTTAAGGTTTCTGCTGTTGAGAAATCTGGTATTATGCTGATGGGCTTGCCACCATAGATGACTCATTGCTTTTCTTTGGCAGCTGTCAGTACTGTTTACTGTTTCTAAACATTTAACCTAACTATAATTGTCTTGGAGTGATTCTTTTCTGATATGATCTGTTTGCTGTCCTAAAAACTCTTGTACCTGGATTGTTAAAGATTTAGGAAATATTCTCACATCATTTTATTGACTATGTTTTGTATTGTTTTAGCATGGGCCTTTTCTTCAACCTCTATGTCTATGTTCCATAGGTTTGTCCTTTCAAGTTCCTGAGGTGGGCTTATATAAGCTTTTCATACTTTACTTTTCACCTAGTTCTTCATCTGACTATTCTAATATATCTACTTTTTCCTTGATCCCTGATATTCTGTTTCAATTTGATACACTCTTTTGTATTGTTTTTATGATTCATATAGCTTTTCATTTCCAAAATTTTAGTTTAACTATTTTTAATATTTCTGTATCTTTATTGAACTCCTCATTTATATATATTGCATTGTTTGTCTTACTTCATTCACTGCTTATTTGTATCCACTTAAAATTCACTCATTTTTTATACTTGTTCTTTTTATTGTATTGAAATCATTTTGTTGAAATAATTTTTCTTGTAATCATACTTTTGAGTTCCTTAGGCTTTAATCTTCTTCAATGTCCTTTATGTCTATTGCTATAGAATTGTTAAACTTTGGAGATACTTGCTTTTTTCCCATACATTCTGTGTTGATATTTATTGATTCTGAAACCAGTTCATTGGATGGAAGTCTTCATTACCTATAGACCAGAAGATTGAACTAAGTGATTTTCATTGTATCTGTCACTGCTTTAACTATTTTTTTTTATTGTTCATGGGGCTTGAAGTCAGAGCCTAGGCACTGTCTCTGACCTTATTCTCAAGGCTACTGGTTTATCACTTAACCACAGTGCCACTTCTGATTTTCCGGTAATTGATTGGAAAAAAACAGTACCATTGGCTTTCCTGCCTGAACTGTCTGTGAACTGTAATCCTCAGATCTCAGCCTCCTGAACATCTAGGATTACAGGTGTGAGCCTCTGGCACCTGGCTTTATATACATACATGCATACATATATCTATATATCTACATATGTGTGTATAGATTTATATAGATCTATATATATATAAATTCATACAGATCTTGGTATATATATATGTATAGATCTATGTATATTTAGATATAGATATAGGTATCTCTATTCATATATCTACATATATATCTATATAATTAACATAGCTTATCTGTGTATTGTTCCCAGGGCACAACCATATTGACATCACTGACATCTGTGCTGCATGACCCCAAGGAATTCCCCAATCCAGACAAGTTTGACCCTGGCCACTTTCTGGATGAAAGTGGTAACTTTAAGAAAAGTAACTACTTTATGCCTTTCTCAGCAGGTATTAAAATTTCATTTCCATATCTCAGGATAACTTTGGGGTGGGATGTCAGTGGGAACTTACATAAAGCCTCCTTGGGACTGGCGTATTTCCCATAAGCTCCTGATTAGGAGCAGCACTCTCAATGCCCTTGCACTTTCCTATTCATGATGCATCTCCACTGTTTGATCAGATTAGCGAGACCTCAGTTTCTCTGTGCATTTCTTCCAAGTTCAACAGGGTAAACCAAGAAATTTCGGCATTCTTCCTTTACATATATCATAATGATCTCTTCCTAAACAGTAAAACTCATTTAGACTGCCCTCACTCACAATGAAAAAGATGATCTCATCAGAGGTCCCTCCCACATCTTTTTGTGGCATTTGTCACCCCCACCAGGCTTCTCTATAGAAAGATTCTCTCCCAAAAGGCACAGAAGAACACCAAAGGGCAATGAGGGAAGATCATCACAAATGACAAGACATGAGGATTTGTGGGTGGAGTATTAACTCATTTGTCACTTTCTTGAACTTGATTATTAAATAGAAAATGGCATAAGCAACATTTTAAGACACTTAAGCTACTTCAACAGGGACAGATATTAGATGGAAGACAGAGTAAAACATTTTTAAGAAAGTCATGAACCACAAGAACAGAACATGTACTCTTAACAGTGTCAGAAACTGTGAAATAATCCTATGTACATAGCAGCAATGTATGATAGATATCCCACAATGATCACAGAGCACTCTGCTCTTCTTTCAGTCTAAGACATGTGTCTTGGATATTTTATCCCCACACCTGCAGTATGTGTGCTTTGTGTCTGACCAGGGAGCAGCCTTCCTTCACTGACACTGTGACTTTTTGTCTTTTTTGTTTGTTCCTTTATTTGTTTGGTTTTTGGGTTTTTTTTAAAGCGTCAGTTGTAGGGCTTGAAGTCAGGGTTTGGCTCCTGTTCCTGACCTTTGTTGCTCAAATCTAGCATTCTACCACTTTGAGCCATAGCTTTACTTCTGCTTTTTGGTGGATAATTGCAGGTAAGAGTCTCAGGGACTTTCTTACCCCAGGCTCACTTCTAATCATGATCCTCTAATATGAGCCTCCCTAGTAGTTGGATCATAGGCATGAGCCACTGGCACCCAACTAATGACCTGACCTTTGATATCTGATTTACATCTATCAATAGATACCATGGGAAAGACAGTGATCTCTCTTCAAAAATTCACTTTTGTTACACAAAGGGAAACATTTTAAGTAATGAGAAAATTATGGCTTCAAATGATTTGAGTGTCAGTGACAATCTGAATATGATATTTGGGAAGCTGAATGAGGGCAAGATTTTATGGCTTGATGGACACAAAGAGCACAAGAAAGGACATGAAATGTGGTCTGTGTCTTGATGTCTGTAGGGTTATCATAGCCAAAAGGAATTTCATGATATAATACTTAAAATTTGTAATTTAATGTAGGCTGATAAAATGGATAGTTGGGCTGGCAATATTTAAATGCAAACTGTGTTTGCTATATTTTAGGGGACAGGTCACATGAGCAATATGAATAGGTTTCTTAGACAAACACAGATGTCTCTAGAACATACAAAGTGTATCATTGAAACCTGAGACTCAAAATTATTATAAATCGATAAAGAATACTTGATTAAAATTTTAATAAATCAAAATATATTATTATTTTAATTCTCACCAACATTTTATGAAGGAATTATTAGCATCACCATTTAATA